GGATGGATGGATGGATGGATGGATGGATGGATGGATGGATGGATAAAAGATATTTCATTTGAAGTTCATAGTTCTATCACTGACTGCAAGGTGTTTTCTCTCCAAGTTAGTAAAGTAAACCAATATATTTCTACAACCATAGTTCACAGTTTATGTGCAATTTCTTCACTCCCTGTATAATTATATAGCTGACACATGTTGTCCCACTCACCTGTCTGTTCCTCTCATCTACAATCCTGGTAATCTGTATCTTCTTCCGCCCCATGGCTGTGTCCTTTCTGGTATTCAGACACGTCAGCGAGATCAAAACAGCACACTTTCTTCCCCCACTCCTCTAGTACATTGTGCGACAGTCTTTTTTGGCATGCACTTTCTTTCACTCTTCTCAGCACACTCTTTGCTCTTGAGCAGACTTCACCACAATCTGCAAGAGAGAGAGAGGGAAATAAAATGTTAAAACTTGACACTTAACAATGTCTCCTTAAGCATTTTAAAGCAGTGAAGGGCTTTGTGTTCTTTTCTCAGGCACATAGAAAGGGTGAAACCCACATGCTATTATCCTCGCTACTGTAGTTGACCCTGAAGTCAGTAATAGTCAGTTTCACACTTTCTACATGGGACAGTGACTACAAAAGTCTTACCGTTTCAATATAAAAAGGTAAAATCTTTAGACAGATTCAGATTCAACTTGAATTCATTTAAAACAAATTAATGACATTTCATTATTCTGAAGTCTATATTTGAAGTTTATTTTTTATAAAGTATAACATTTTGGGAAAGACCACTTTGAGGCAGAAAACTAAATTATGGGATCAATATTGCAGCTAAAACCAAGAGCTTGTAAGACAGTACAAGGAAGAGTCAACACAAACACAAATGTTTACTGACAAGTACAAAACTTTGGAAGTGTTTTAAAACAGAAAAAATATAAAAGTAAATTTGTCCCATTTTAGTTATGCATTTTGTAGGTTAGTTCTGGATTTTTTTCTAAAACCTTTTCATTCTCAACAGGTGTATATAAGCTGTTGTTGGGCAACGGTGACTTGACTCTTAAGGATATTAAATAAGCATCAAGATGGTTATTGACAATAGGCCAGATTAATTTTTCAGGATTTGTGACAAAGCTGGGATAAGTAAGGAAAACTGGGGATATATTCCCACAGGAGCTTGTAACCAGGCCAGTAGTTCCCACCAAGACATGCCCCAGGGAACATCTAACAATTTTCTGTCTCTGCTTCTGCACTAAAAGAGATATAGTCCACTCCCTCGAGGCACATCCATCACTTACATCTGGCATATAAAAAATGTCTAAATAACTGTATTTTTCCCAACAGTATGAGGACAAATGTACAAAGGTTAACAACTTGGGCCATTATATGCAGTCAGCAGTTGTGTGGTAAAGAAGAGAGGGGCTGAATTGGCAGCAAAAACAAAAATGACCAGTTCCAGTCACACATGGTCATTATGGGTTACAGATGAACTGGCATTATGGTGTCTGGCTGTCTGAATCGGGGCTCCACTGTAGGCAAATTTGACTGAGATCACCTTGCTAACTACCCACATAAGGCTGCCGGAGCCAGGAAAGTAACTGCCTGAACCCCCGCAAAGATTTTCATCAAACCACATCAGAATGAACGGCAAAGTTCTTGTTCATTTGCCATTACAAACAAACTGACAGAGCCACATTTGAATTAAAGGGTGTCTGTGGCAGCAAATGTCAGTTCTCCTAAGTCACAGCTTTAACACCCTGAAGTTCTGCATTAGTTCAAGTACTTTAAGTTTGACCAGCAACCTTGTTTCTTCTGTTGTTCCTTTGGGAACAGTTCTTTAAGCCAAATCTTATTACTTTATCAGTTTCAGTGGTCTGATTTACTACTTACTGTAAAACTGATAAAACAATACTTGACTGATACCTACTGCTATAATAAATTTATTGTGCATTCACACAGTGAATAACTTTTAGCATGAACAAAAATAATAATTGAAAGGAGAAAATTGGATGAAGCTTTGCTTCATTTCAATTTTTAAAGTTCCATCCATCCATTTTCTTCCGCTTATCCAGGGTCGGGTCGCAGGGGTAGCAGCCTAAGTAGGGAGGTCCATACTTCCCTCTCCCCAGCCACTTGGGCCAGCTCTTCCGGGGGAATCCCGAGACGTTCCCAGGCCAGCCGAGAAACATAGTCCCTCCAGCGTGTCCTGGGTCTTCCTCTGGGCCTCCTTCCGGTGGGACGTATCTGGAACACCTCACCAGGGAGGCGTCCAGGAGACATCCTAAACAGATGCCCAAGCCACCTCAACTGGCTCCTCTCAACGTGGAGAAGCAGCGGCTCTACTCTGAGTCCCTCCCGGATGATCGAGCTTCTCACCCTATCTTTCTAAGGGAGAGCCCAGACACCCTGCGGAGAAAACTCATTTCGGCCGCTTGTACCCGAGATCTCATTCTTTCGGTCACAACCCAAAGCTTGTGACCATAGATGAGGGTAGGAGCGTAGATCGTTTGGTAAATTGAGAGCTTCGCCTTTTGACTCAGCTCTCTCTTTACCACGACAGACCTGTACAGCGCCTGCTTCACTGCAGACGCTGCACCTATCCACCTATCGATCTCATGCTCCATTTTTCCCTCATTCATGAACAAGACCCCAAGATACTTGAACTCCTCCACTTGGGGTAGGACCTCCTCCCTGACCCAGAGAGGGCACTCTACCCTTTTCCGGCTCAAGACCATGGCCTCGGATTTGGAGGAACTGATCTTCATCCCAGCCGCATCGCATTCGGCTGTGAACCGCTCCAGCGAAAGCTGTAGATCACGATCTGATGAAGCCAATAAGACCACATCATCTGCAAAAAGCAGAGACACAATCCTAAGGCCACCAAAACGGATCCCCTCAACACCTTGGCTGCGCCTAGAAATTCTGTCCATAAAAGTTATGAACAGAATCGGTGACAAAGGGCAACCTTGGCGGAGTCCAACTCTCACCAGGAACAAGCCCGACTTACTGCCGGCGATGCGGACCAGGCTCTGACACCGGTCATACAGGGACCTAACAGCCCGTATCAAAGGGCCCGGTACCCCATACTCCCAGAGTATCCCCCACAGGGTTCCCCGAGGGACGCAGTCGAACGCCTTCTCCAAGTCCACAAAGCACATGTAGACCGGTTGGGCAAACTCCCACACACCCTCCAGGACCCTGCTGAGAGTGTAGAGCTGGTCCAGTGTTCCACGGCCAGGATGAAAACCGCACTGTTCCTCCTGAATCCGAGGTTCGACTATCTGACGGACCCTCCTCTCCAGAACCCCCGAATAGACCTTACAAGGGAGGCTTAAGAGGCTTTTTTTAAAGTTGGTCTGACTAAATGTTTTTTTCATAACTGACTGCATTATCACCAAAGTAATGATTTGTGCCACTAAAAACACTTCAAATTTGCTCATTCAAAGGACGTTCTATATGAAATCAGGCAGGATATAAACACTTTACCATCCAGACACACATGCACTTCCTTTCATGTCTTTATGCAAAGAACCTGTCAGAATAAGACAGTTCAAGAGGCATAACAGATTGTGCAATAGCAGTTTGCCTGCACTGATACAAAATGACAAGCAGAGACCATCAGACTGCAGGTGTGCTGCGCTTCAAACATGTCTTTACATTCATCAAAAGGCATTCAAAGCCTAAAACAGGTTGCAAATATATACAATTAAATAAATTTAAAAAACTTAAGTGCAAAAAACTTGAGTTTCCAGAACTGAAAAACAGAAGTTGATCAAATTTGAAAGTTTATTTTTTTTAAAGTGTGACACTTGTGAATGTGAATGGGATATTTGTTTAAAGCCTTAAGCCCCCAGTATACTCCCGCGTACGTCCATACGCAGAGGTACGCATGTACGTATGCGGAGGTACGAGTGTACCACCCAGGGCATGTCCGTGCAAAGCTCAATTTTTATGACCGCATACGCGTACGCGGTGTCGCACAATAAACTGCCCAGTGACGGACTGTTTTGTATGCGACACCAATATATTAAATTCCCCTTCCTCATCCCTGATCTGACCTTTTCTTTTGTTTTTTTGCCAAGAGGCAAGTGATCTCTTCCTCCTCCGTTGATGCCATGACTGAAATGGTGAGAAATGAAGGAATTTGTCATGAGCGAATTAAACTCAGGTCCAGCGTGGCTGCGGGAGGGTCTGGAGATTTCCTAGTGGGCTGGTCTGATGTGTGGGCTGTAGAGCCAGTGCTCCTTGTTTTGTTTTGTTTTTTAGATCTTTTTATTAACAACATATAAACACAGAACACCGCTGCGCTGAGGCTGCCAGCGCTCTTTTTTTTTTTCCGACCTGTCAATCAATCCAGTAAGCGTGTCAGAAAATGACCAATCGGCAACCTCAATTTGTCCCGAAGGTAAATGCCCCTTGTCTGTGAAGCTGCTCTGCAGCTGCTCAGGGTGTACGCTGGAGTACAAAGTCTGAACCCTCTACAGTACACGCGTACGTACACGTGAACGGACGTACGTGGCAGTATACTGGAAGCTTAAATGATGTGCTTTTGGTACATAAGTGTATGTGTCAGAAAAACAACAACCGAAATAATGCAAATAAAACAAAACAAAACAAAACATTTTGGCAAGACAACACGAGGCCATGTGGTCATTTTAACCAAAATGCATCCACACAGTTTACAACTAGGAGGACAAAGTCAGTGGTACCCACTTAACTACTGCCCATGTTGCACCTCACTAAGACACCATCAAATCTAACCAGCATTGCACAAAGAACATTTAGGCTTGTATTGGTTTCTCAATTTTTGACATTGTGGATTGAGTACTGTATTAAAATAAGTAAGTAAATAAAATATAAGTAAATATTTAAAATGGTTCTTCCAATTTTTTTTAACCAGAGCCTAAACTTTCCATTTTCTTGTATCTACATTTTTTGTACACAAAAATGGCTGCAAAGCTGTCTATCTTTAACCGCTTCTTCCTTTTCGGGTCGCGGAAGATCACTGATGCCCATGTCCAGCCATCACTGTGCAAGAGGTGGGGTACACCCTGGACAGGTCTCCAGTCCATCACAGGGACACAGAGACTTACGAGACAAAAAAAAAACATTCACTCTCACTCACACCTAGGGACAATTAAAAGTTAGCAATCAGCCTAACATGCACATTTTTGGTCTGTGGGAGGAAACTGGAGTAGTACTCAGAGAAAACCCACGCATGCATGGCGAGAACATGCGAACTCCACCCAGAAAGGTGGGATTTGATTGAACCGGGGCGACCTGCTTGCTGAGAGGCAGCACCTCAACCAACTGAACCACCGTGCTGCCCATTATATCCACAAGTTAAAGTATTAGTGGTTGCTGACAGATACAGACCAGTATGCAGACAATAAACAACACTTTTCTGACACACTGCAAGCTGACACAATATGTG